GATACATGAAAGCTGAAGGAGTGGATTATGTATTTATCTTTGTATTCATCTGCCTTTAAGTTTTCCAGAACCTCCTCACTCCCACCCTGAACACACATGTATACACACACACACCATTGCCCCCTTAGCTCACAAAGGAGTTGATAAGGAATGATGTTGAAATAAAGATACCACTTAGCCTCATGACATCACACACCAAGAGAAAAAAAAAAAAAGCCATGGGTTGTACCTGCCTGTTCATCTCTTGTTATCTCACGGCAAGTTGTCTGTCCTCAGGTGGAAGTAGAAGATGTTGAGCCCTGATATAATTGATACAAATGTGTTTTTATTATGTAGCCATGTAAAATGCCTGACAAACGATTCTGCAATTATTTGATTCCTGAAATACAGCTTTGTTTATATGCTTCGTAGACCTTCAATTACAGGCAGTTTTACTGACCCAGGGCCCCAGCTGCTGAGCTCTGAAATATCAACATGCTTGCTTTGAGGCAAACATGCTTCCTGCTTCCCAGGGGCTGCTCTCAGCCAAAGACTGAGCATAGTGGGGACACTGAGGCATGCCCACGTTGGCTTTGGGGATTCACCTGATGATCTTGCTGAGACTTAATTAGACTGTACTGGTGGTCAAGAATTCGTTCATTCAGTTTTCCTTCCTTCTCTTCTTCACACGGGGTCAGCCTTACCCGGCCACCTTCCCCCTTTCCCTCACAAGCATTTCTCCTAAAAAATTCCTTGCATACTTATCTTTGTCTTGGTATCTGTTCTTCAGAGTACCAGGACTAACATAAACTGATTAAAAGTACAGCTTTGCCAGGCACAGAACCATATGATTGATATCTCTCATGTTGGGTCAGTAGGAGGAGCATAAGGATATATGATAGGGTAACTGCTAGGAACATCGAGAACTCTCAACAGTGGTATCCTGTGTGGGGTTTTGGTAAGAACTTGTGAAGGAAAGAACTGAATGAAACTTTTCATTAAGCATCTTTAAATTAAAAGACAGAATTTCCAAACAAGTAAATGTATAATGATTTGAAAATGTAAAATCAAGTATTTGGATTTAAAAAGCATATGAATTTGAGAACAAAGAAAGTATAGGATTTGGAGACAGCCAGATCTGAGTTTGAGCCCCAGATCATCTTTGTGATCTTGGGAAAATTACTGCGTTACTGGATTTTTTTTTTCTTTTGAAACAGGGTCTCACTCTGTCATCCAGGCTGGAGTGCAGTGGTGCAATCATGGCTCACTGCAGCCTCGACTTCCTGGGCTCAGGTGATTCTCCCACCTCAACCTCCTGAGTACCATCACACCCAGCTGATTTTTTTTTGTGTGTATTTTTTTTTTTTTTTTTTTTGTACAGACAGGGTTTTGCAATGTTATCCAGACTGGTCTCCATCTCCTGAGCTCAAGGGATCCACTCACTTCGTCCGATCCACAGTGCTGGGATTATAGGAGTGAGCCATGAAACCTGGCCTTGTTATTGAATCTTGATTCCATTGATTTGCATTCCTTCTTGGATGTGAAGTATATAACCTTATCTACTGGCTCCCTGCAGGAGGCATAAATCTCCTACCTGATTGACATTGGTCTTGGCCATGGGACTCGCTGGGGTCCAGGGACTATGTGGCTGAGACATAGGTGAGTCTGAACAGAAGCTCTTAAGAGCCAGTGCACAAGGTGGTTACTGCATTATTTTCCCTCTGCCACAAGAAGCACAAGACCAAGGAGAGGCTGCTTCTACAGCCTGGATTCTGGAATAATGTTGCAGAGCCACAACTGGCTGGTAGCTGCCACTACTGACAGCCAACATAAGCAAAACAAACTTTCATGGTTGAAAACCACTGCGATTATTCTCCAAAGTTTTAATGTTGAAAAATTTCAGAATAAAGTTGAAGGAGTAGTTCAACTGACACCCTCACTTAGATTCTCTAATTTTGCCACGTTTGCTAAATTTGTCGTTCCCTCCCTCAATATAGAGCTCCCTATTTTTGCTGAAACATTTGAGAGTTAGTTACAGCCATAGTGATATTTGGTTCCTAAATATTTTGATATATATATCAAGATATATATATCCTTAAACAAGGTTTAGTCTATGACCATGACACTATTGTCATATCCAAGAAATATAACACTGATATAATATTTAGCGTACAGTTCATGTTCAAATTTCTCTGTTACAATGTCATTCTTTGTAATTTTTTTCCTGATCCAAAATCCAAGTGAGGATCATGCACTGCTAATAAATGTGTATCTCGTTAGTCTCCTTTAATTTAGAACAGTTTCTTGACTTTTTTGGGTTCATCTTCCATAAAACTTACATTTTTGAAGCGTTTAGGTCAGTTGTTTTACAGAATATATCACTTTTTGGATATACTTGATTTCCTCATAATTCTTTAGATGCAGGTTAAATATTTATGTTAGGAATACTACATAGATTGTATTGTTTATATCACAATGAAGAAGCACAAATATCAGATTGTCTCATTTTGGGTGATAAGTTTAACCACTTGAAGATGATATCAATCAGATTTCTCCATTGAAAAGTTTCATGTATCCATTTGTATTTTGTCAGTAACTTGTGAGATGATACTTAGAGACTATGTGAACATATTGATCCCCAACAAGCTTTCTCTTGGTTTTAGCATCTATTGATGATCCCTTCCTGTACCAATGATTAATTACATTGGTAGACGAAGAATGGTGATTTTCCTCATTCTATTATTCCTACTACTTTTATTATCTGGTATTCTTTTGTATGGAAAACTCCCTCCACTCTCTCCATACTCATCTATTGTTGAGTATCATTACAGATTCACAAATTTTAGTATATATGTTATAATAGTTGAGCATTATTCCTTTAGTTATGGACACTCTCCCAAATTTGGACAACAGGAGCCCCTTTGAACTTGGTCCTGCGTCCTTTTAAACATGTTTCTGTTTGTCTGTATTTTATAGTTAGTTATAGCCTTTCTGGCTCAGTAATGATCCAGGCTTATCTTAGATATTTGCTGTTAGAGACTTGATTCTTTTTATTTGGCAGAGACATTGACAGAGTGAGACTAAGATTTGGGAAGCCGGTTGACAAGAAGGCAAGAGAGGGGATTCAGAGTAAGAAAATATTCGGGGGGAATTCTTAGCCAAAGATTTACCTTGGGTATGTCTCTCAAGCTCTTCAAACTTGAATTTCTTTTCCCGGAAAATAAAGATTATTATGCCAATTGCTCAGGTAGGTTGTGAAGATTAATAAACACAGCCCTATGATTGGCACATAGTATTTTTTGGCCATTATCATTAGCGACAACCTTTCAACTAGATTAATTTCTGGTGAACTCCAACTATCTGCCTCTGATGCATTTATGATCAGACTTGCTTAAGTTTACGTTCAGAGGCTTTGCTTAAATGTGGCTCTAGGGCTGAGCATGGTGGCTCATGCCTGAAATCTCAGCACTTTGGGAGGCTGAGGCAGGCAGATCACCAGGTTAGGAGTTCTAGGCCAGCCTGACCAATCTGCTGAAACCATGTCTGTACTAAAAATACAAAAATTAGCTGGGCGTGTTGTTGGGCACCTGTAGTCCCAGCTACTCTGGAGGCTGAGGCAGGAGAATCGCTTGAATCCGGGAGACAGAGGTTGCAGTGAGCCAGCATGGCATCTGGGCAACAGAGCAAGAGTCCGCCTTAAAAAAAAAAAAAAAAAAAAAGTGTCTCTAAGATGTTCTAAGGGCACTAGAGTGTTTCTAAATGGGGCTAAATGGGTACAGGCTTTAAAAGGCCGATGAAACAGACAGCGTTCATGGGAATCCTATCCAAATTCGAGGAAGCAAAAGATATACCCTGCCCCCAACACTGTACGTATGCATGTGCATTTCGTGGTTTGAATTAGGATGTTAAATGAAATGTAGCCTGGTAAAATGTAGACTGGGTGTAAATCCAAGCTCTGTCACTTACATTTCCCATTTAAAAAAGTGAAGATACACTTTCCTGGCCCAGTGGTTGTGACTGTAAAATTTGGGCCAAGAAGACCGTCAGTCTATCGCGGTGCAGGGTCATATTTGTACCTTAGGCGGCACTTCCATCTGGTGGCATAGCATCCCAATTGCAAGGCAAAGGACAGAGTGGGGGAAAGGCTGAATCTGTAAACCTACACCCTTAAGTAAAGCCACAGAATTGAATTGTGAATGAAAATATTTTCATCCTGTACCTACGGAGTGCTTCAAATAACAATCACGTCCTGGTAAGACAGAGGAATTAGACAATATGCTGAGGTTTGCCTGCAAGGGCACTCATTCATTCATTCATTCATTCAAGAAACATCTGTTGAGTGCTGACCGTGCGCTGTGCTCTGTTCTGGACGCTTGGCTTACATCAGTGGGCTAGAGACACCCTGGGGTGCCTTCTCCTGTACATCCTGTACTATGTAAACTATACTAGATAATTTGTAAAGAGCTCTTACGGATTACAACGTCCCCTCTAAAGTCAACGGGACTTGTTTCCAGGCCTCTATGACCATGGGTAAGTGGAGAACCAGGGCGCAGACCCACTCCAGCCGAAATAAGAACCTACCCGGTACAAATGAAAGTTAAGCCACGCGCTAGAAGTTGTCATTGCTGACAAAATAGAAGACGCCTTTCCCCATTTTCCCCCGCAGAAATCCATGTATTCTTTTCGGGAAGCAAGCGCCTCACCCGAGTGGCCGGGATCGAACCCGTGGAGGGCAGAGAGCGACGGCGCCTGTGGGACTCTGTTTCCCTGCAGAGCCCAAGCGGTGGGGGGCAGGCAGGCCGCGGCCGCCCCGGGGGCCCTGTACCGCGGGGTCGCTCACCACGCGCAGGTACCGCGCACAGGTGAGCGTTCCGGCTCGGAGTTTCGGGGTCTCAGCCACCGACTCCCCAGCGAGGCCTGGCGCCCCCCGGTGACGGCGCGCGGTCTGAGCGCTGAGTCCGGAACAGAACTGTCCTGCGGAACTCCGAGTGCACGCTCGGTTTCCGGGGGAGGAGGGCGGCTAAGGACCTGCGCGCGACGGTTCTCGCCGCTGCCATGGAGGCGCTGGCCATGGGGGTCCGAGCGGTGCGGCTCTTGCGGGTCGCTCCCAGTGGCGGGGTCAGCCGGAGTGAGTTGCAGAGGCCGTGGGGACGGGGAGCGAGGCCTAGAAAGTTGTGTCTGTCCAGATTGGGCCTGAGGCGCGTCCTGGGAGGTCTCGCTGGGCAGGGGAAGGAGGAGGGTGTCTCAGTCCCGCCGCGGCGGTCGCCCTTGCGCAGCCTGGGAGGACAAGTGTTTGAGAGCGAGGGGCCAGAGGAGGGCAGGAACGAGGGCAGGGGTCGGGGCCGGGCCGCCTCTGGGAAGCGGCGCGCGTTCCGTGCACGTCTGCCCATGTCTTCCCGAGGAATACTCGTACTTGCCTTGGCAGGGTCCCCGATTTTGGCCTTTGGAAAGTAAACCCAGCTTTTCTCTTTCTGGATATTGCTAGTTTCGGTGTGGGACCTTTAGTCTCCTGAACCTTTCTTGTCTTCCTTCAAGACCCTTTCAAACCGACCACTTTGCTCACCTTCCCAATGACTCTAGTTCAGTTTTGACTCTGTTTCCTGGTTACTTTTTGCCCCTTACTGTAAAGCACTGATTGGAAACACGACAGAGGAAATTGGTGGGAAATAGCGGTCTGATGTGAAAGAGTCAAATTTAAAAGTAGAGGCACTTATCTAGGCCAGCTCTGTTTTTTTTTTTTGCTGGTGCTTGCTAATATTACAAATCGGTTTAAGTTTACCTCTGAGCACAGTTTTGGCAGTATGTTAATCATGTCTTCAGTCTTCATATTTATTGTAACTTTTCCGCAGGATTTATAGCAACATCGCCAGCTTCTCAGCTGTCACCGACAGAATTGACAGAAATGCGGAATGATCTCTTTAATAAAGAGAAAGCCAGGCAGTTGTCATTAACTCCCCGAACTGAGAAGATAGAAGTTAAACATGTTGGGAAAACTGACCCTGGTACTATCTTCATGATGAATAAAAACATTTCAACTCCCTACAGTTGTGCCATGCGTAAGTAACAGAATCAGGTTACAGTTTGGACCCTTTTACTTGAGCTGTGTGGAAGTACTGGTGCAGGAGACAGGATATTGTAATTACTCCCTGGACTTCCCAGAGGTTCTTTGTCTGGCACCTTACTGTCTGTTCACTGTCCCTTTAGCTCCGGAGGGTACTATGAGTATTCCAAGGTTGGCACTGTAGTGCACAGATTGTCCTGCCTGTGGCATGTTTGCCTCTGGCTTTGTTTAGGGTACTAGATTATTTTCTGGTGAAAGGTGGCCAGACCTGAGTGCATTGTTACTGATGTGCTTTCTCCTTTAATTTAATTTAATTTTAGAGATGGGGTTCTGTCTCTGTTGCCAAGGGTGGAGTGTAGTGGTACTATCATAGTTCACTGAAACTCCTACCCTCAGCTTACCAAGTAGCTGGGCCTGTAGGCGCCCACCACCACACCTGGCTAATTTATTTTTATTTTTTGAGAGACAGGGTGGCTATGGTGCCCAGGTTGGTCTTGAACTTCTGACCTCAAGCCATCCTCCTGCTTCAGCCTCGCAAGTAGCTGAGATTTGCTTGCTCCTTTTAGGTAGGGCTGTGATGTGGTAGGAGCAGTCACCATGCAGGTCTCAAGAAGGGATTTTGGTATAAAGGATTGCCATGTCTGCAGATGGCCAACTTTTTTTGCCCTTTTTCTTTCTCTCCTCTTTGTCGTATAGCCTAATTTTTATCTGTCGTCTGCTTTCCATTTGGCTCTCTCTGTGTTGTATTTTTGTTTACATTTATATTTACATGTGTAAATGTGTGAGTGGGAATGTGAATGGAATCCATGTGTTGGGGGTAAAAATATTTATATTTTAAAGAGACAACTGTGCCCCATGTGTGATTTGGTGTGGAAATGAAGGGAATAAAGACCTCTATATTTTATTTTTCATCAAAATTTTTTTTTTTTTGAGATGGAGTTTCGCTCTTGTTACCCAGGCTGGAGTGCAATGGCGCAATCTCGGTTCACCGCAACCTCCGCCTCCTGGGTTCAAGCAATTCTCCTGCCTCAGCCTCCTGAGTAGCTGGGATTACAGGCACGTGCCACCATGCCCAGCTAATTTTTCGTATTTTTAGTAGAGACGGGGTTTCACCATGTTGACCAGGATGGTCTCGATCTCTCGACCTCGTGATCCACCCACCTCGGCTTCCCAAAGTGCTGGGATTACAGGCTTGAGCCACCGCGCCCGGCTCATCAAAATGTTTTGATAGTACCTTTGATAGAACTGGTAATATTGAAATTAAAGAAGCCCCCACATAGATACAGGCATGAGTAGCTGCCTTGTTTAAACTTTTGGAAAACTCAGTAATAATTCCATTTAAGTAATTAACAACTTTACTTAACAACTTTAGTGATCAGCTTAAACTGGCCTGAAGAGAGTACACTCAGTCTTCCTTCACACTGGCACTTGAATTAGTATGTATACATATTTACTCATTTGGTTTTCAAGTGTTTCTGGAACCTCTACCATATGATAGACATTAGGATTACAGAGGAGGATGAGACAAAACTCAGTCCCTTAAGGAGCTTTATGCACATCACGTGTAGTGATGAAGCTTCTGAAGCATCCCAGCATGACTCCTGCCCTGAGACTTTCTTGTCGTTCATTCTTGCAGTCATTCAGTAAACTTTTACTGAATACCTGCTATATTCCAGGCTTGGTGCTACGCCCTGGATATACTGATGAGTGAGCAAAAATTGACATGATCCCTGTCTTTATGGGACTTATGTAATGTTTGATAATTTAGATCCTGTAGTTTGACTACTTTTATGAGTAGCTGTGTAATTTCAGAACATCTAATCACAGTTGGTATTGCATTCCGGGATGATCAAACAGACCAGAACTGATTGGCTTATAAGGGAACTCATATTAACTATTAAAAAATGGTAACTACGGCATTTAACTTCAAGAGTCTATATCATGGAAATAAAAGATGGTCTGGGAACAAGACCCAAAACCAATCTAGAACTGATTTTTGGAGGGTTGAGTTAATATATTTCCCTTTTCTTTTGAATTGTGTGTATATCTATCCAAATATATCCATGATGCTGCTCTCTGAATATTCAAGTGTAACTCTGGGAAAATTGTTTTATTAATAATTGACAAATTTGAGTATATTGGGTATTATTTATTTATTTATTTATTTATTTTTAAGATGGAGTCTTGGTCAGTCACCTAGGCTAGAGTGCAGTGGCGTGATCTTGGCTCACTGCAACCTCTGCCTCCTGGGTTCAAGTGCTTCTCCTGTCTCAGCCTCCCAAGTAGCTGGAATTACAGGCTTGTGCCCCCACACCTGGCTAATTTTTTGTAGGGCATTATTTTTTTAAATTGGTTATAGATGTAATATGCTTTGTTTCTCTAAAAAGGACAGTCTGCAGAATTGTGCCTTCCCATTATTTTATTTCTAAATGTAGCACTTAAACATGTAACTTTCACTCTGTATTTTGTTAGATAATCAGTCTGTTTTAAATTTCTAGACCTAAGCGAGTGGTACTGCAGGAAGTCCATTCTGGCTCTGGTGGATGGACAGCCATGGGGCATGTATAAGCCTTTAACGAAGTCCTGTGAAATTCAGTTTCTTACTTTCAAAGATCGTGATCCAGGAGAAGTGAATAAGGTATTTCTATCTCTACATTCTTTTTCTATTTCCCTTTTTATTAAGACCTGTTTTCTATGGGGTGTAACGTGTAAAAATATAACCAAATTTAAATGTATTGTATTCTTTAGTCAATGTTTTACTTGTTAGATTAGGTACTTTTTTAGTTGGGAAAATACCAGTGGCATCCATATCTCTGTATTTTTGGTATGATATGTCTTTTATATTCATATCTTTGTTTAACTGACATTCATTAATTACCTTGTATATTGTGGGTGATTCCATTTCCACTGCTACTACTTGAGTTCAGCCTTTAACCATCTTATCTAGATGATTTCAATAACTTTTTAACTCTTTCTGCTTACTCACCCCCTACTTTTTTTTTTTAGTACTTAAAAATTGTTCTTTTACAGGCATATAACAGTTATAGTTACAGTTGAACAAGAAAATGATAGCAGTGACAGTAATAGCCAACAATGAGTATGTATTATGTGTCAGGCACTGTTCTGGGTGATTTACAGATATTGACTCTAACCTTCATACAAACTCCACAAAGTTTGTGCTATTCTCACCGTTTTCCTGATAAACCGAGATAAAGAGAAGTTCAGCAGCTTGACCGAGGTTACTGATTTAGGAACTACTGGAACCCAGATTTGAACCTAGGCATTCTGACTGGAGTTCAACAGACATTTAAAGACATTTAAGTAGGATAGATGAAGAAGTACATTTTGCTACTTGCCTTCAAGGCCTGGGTTTGTAGTTATTTTTAGTGTAATGTGGTTGCATAGCATATATAATGGAGCAGTCTCTGCCACACACAGTGAAGTGACTCCACTTTTGTAGTCCTCAGATATGAAGAAGAGCTTCTGAAATTAAGGTGCTCAGAGTAGTGTCAGCAAAAGGGGAACACAATGGACAGGTACAGTGCAGGTTTCTCTTTGTGACTGATCAGGTCATTGATTTGATAACATCCCAGGCATGTCCACGGATCAAAAGGTACTGGTAAAATGAAAGCCCAGTTGCTGCTGCTCTGCTATAAATATGAGTAATCTGAACGATGTATTATGATGTTAGGTATAGGATAAGACTCACAAATAATTCATAAAAGTTGAGTTTTTTCTCCATATTTATACATGGTATAAAGTTAAATAATTAATATATTTATTTTACTTTAGCATAAGTTTGTTAACAAGTTAACTTTATTTTGAGTTAAAAATAAATACTTTCAGATACTGAAACCATCTATTGATTGATAACTATTATAGTGTTTGATATCTTGCACAGAAACATTGCTAAGAACCTGAAGTTGATGCTTCATTCTTTCCTGATTTTTGCTCAGTAGAGGTAATGTCATGGCCTGATGGTAACTGTTGCTATATTATGTGAACAGAGATATATGGGACATAGTTTCTAAGTCAGAAGTTCACTTAAAATTTAATATTGTTGAAACTTCAGTGAATCTCAGTGTGTTTATATATATTTTATATATGTGTATATTTTTTCTAGGCGTATTGGCGTTCTTGTGCTATGATGATGGGCTGTGTGATAGAGAGGGCATTCAAAGATGAATATATGGTCAATTTGGTCAGAGCTCCAGAAGTTCCTGGTAATGTACATGTATAAATATATGTCTTTTTATGATCCTTAAATATTTTGGTACCTATTTTGGTTTAGTTCTAATTTTGTCTAATATAAATTACCATTATACATGTGTTTCATTTATCATGGGTAACACCATCTTAATATGATGAAATATGAAGTAGCCTTTGCAGGTTAATAATTAACATCATAGAATTACTGGGAAGTGTTTGTCTTGAATATGAATTTCATGGAATTCCATGATCTCAGTGTTTGTTTATTTTTCACAATTTTAAGCATATATTTCCAAATTGGGTGTATAGAGGAGGAGAAAATGTTTGAGTATAAGTAGACTGCTGGAAGGAGCTGTGCTTAGGTGGTAATGTTTCACCAGACATGACCGTGACTCTGGAGAGAGAGACTGCTTTGGCCAGGTGAAAGGGTGTAGACTCTGTAATTTTGCTAAAACTAGGGTTTTGTAATAGTGAGTATGGTAGGAGCACATGTATAATTCTTTTTTTTCTTGAGACGGAGTCTCGCTCTGTCACCCAGGCTGGAGTGCAGTGGCGTGGTCTTGGCTCACTGCAAGCCCTGCCTCCCAGGTTCAAGCAACTCTCCTGCTCAGCCTCCTGAGTAGCTGGGGTTACAGGCGCCCCCCACCACGCCTGGCCAATTTGTGTATTTTTAGTAGAGGTGGGGTTTCACCAGATTGTCCAGGCTGGTCTTGATCTCCTGAACTTGTGATTTGTCCACCTTGGTCTCCCAAAGTGCTAGGATTACAGGCGTGAGCCACCATGCCTGGCCATATAATTTTTTTTTTTTTTTTTTTTTAAAACAAGTAGGTATACCTAAAATATTTGAAGGAAACTCAAGGAATGATTCTAAGAATGAAACACCAAAAAGAAGATATTTAGGGGATATAAAAGAAATTTAGCATTTCCTATCCATTAAGTTACCAATATACTTCCTAAATATCTTGTTCCTTGGGATTTTTTTTTTGAGATGGAGTCTCATTCTGTTGCCGAGGCTGGAGTGCAGTGGCGTGATCTCTGCTCACTGCAACCTGTGCCTTCCAGGTTCAAGTGATTCTCCTGCCTCTGACTCCCGAGTAACTGGAATTACAGGCTCCTGCCACCACGCCTGGCTAATTTTTGTATTTTTAGTAGAGACAGGGTTTTACTATGTTGGCCAGGCTGATCTTGAATTCCTGACTTCAGGTAATCCACCTGCCTTGGCCTTCTGGAATTTTTATATCTGGTAACTATGTGAAATCTATATGGTAATAGCATTTTTGAATAAAACTTCACTGTTTAAAAAATATTAGTGATTTGGGGTTACTAATCTTTTGGCTAAGGGAAATTTGATAAGGCTCTGGCAAGCAGCTGGAATAATGGCAACGATTTTATAATTTGTAGTCTTAGGAGAGAGTGCTAATCCTTCATTCTGTGGTCTAAATATTCAGTCGTTGCAAATTAGTAACTTTCTGTTAGGGCAGTTTTGACTTTGCATTTTATTTTGGTTGGATTTACAGTAATTTCTGGTGCCTTCTGTTATGACGTACTTTTGGATAGCAGACTTGATGAGTGGATACCAACAAAAGTAAGTATGTTCTTCTGGAGTATTAATTTTAGATCTTCTGGAATACTAATTTTAGAGTCTCTGCCTTTGTTAGAGTGATTCCTATGTTAGTATTGTTGAATGGTACTGTACATTGAGGACATTTAAAAAAATCTATTATCTATCTACTGTCTGTCTGTCTACTATCTATCTATCTATCTGTCTGTCTGCCTGTCTGTCTGTCTATCAGTGTTGTTGCTTTTTCAGCATATTTAAGACAGATATATGAATGAGAGTATTTACATCAACATGATCAGTTGTCTTGAAACTTTATGTCCTCCTTGACCTTTTCTTGATGTGCCTTCTAAGTGGTTTTAAGGTAGTAGTTTTCAAGAGGCCCAGAATATAAAATATAAAAACTTAACAATCTTGACTGATATGGAGGGCTTGGAGCCATACCTGTTTGGATCGCTGGAGCACAATTTGAAAACCACTTCCCTAAGCCATTTTAACTTGTTCCATACTGTGACATCCCTGTATATACAAGGGTCACATTGAGAGCTGGGTGAATTAAAACAATCAGACTTTGACAAAGCTAACCCAAGCATCAACAAACCAAATATTAACAAACTGAACTCTTTGTGAATGCTCTGCCTTTGTAATGAGGCTGGTCCTTGTTGGTTTGGGACTTGGGTAGCAACAGGGCCTAACAAGGACGGTATAGATCAGGTGCTCAGTAGGTAAGGGGTGCTGATGGTTATCAAAGATCAAGCCTGGAGATGCAGTTCTGATTGGGGAGAATAGGCAGATACCTAATTCTTAATTAAACAAGACTCTATGTCCTACATAATGGGATTCTGGAGATCTGAAAAGGGGAAGCAGTGTAGCACATCATTTTATCAATTCCACTGTGTACATTCATTTTACATTTAATATCTCTGAAAATAGATGAGCCTTATAGTAGATGGTATCTTGCAGTTATCATTTGTAGTTTTTTTTTTTTTTTCCCTTAGTGATACATCTTAGATTTAGTGAAATACTGTAGTAGTTCTTAAAAGCCAGGATTTTGGAGTCAGGGCAGATCCAGCTTTACATTTGGCCTTGGAAATTACTTTTTGTATAATCCTGCCCATATTACATATTGAAAGAGAGAGAAGAGGGAATCAAGAAAGAATGAGAAAAAGGGAGAGGGAAGCGAGAGAGAGAAGAGGGTGGGCAGGGGGAGGGAAGGGATTCGAACTGTTTCTTCGTGACCTCTGGGCCCCTGTCAATGAAGCTTCTTCCTTTTCAACTATGTCTCCAAATGGAAGATTTTCTTTACTTGCGGGGAGTTAGGTAAAAACTAATGAGGTCAAGCTTTAATTTTCCTTATCTATGAAAAAACATAACTGCCTTTTTCTTTCCTTTTTCTTTGTTTCTTTTTTTTTTTAAGAGATGGTGGTCTCACCCTGTTGCCCAGGCCAGCCTTGAACTTTTGGACCCAAGCAATCCTGCCCCAGCCTTTCTATTAGCTGGGGCTACAGGCGTATGCCATTGTGCCTGGCTTTTTGCATTTTTCTTTTTTAAAAGATAAAACCTTATAAAAGAAATGTATCAACTGATTGCAGACTGCATGGAGTTGGGTTGAGTAGACAGCTTAAAGAAAGTAGGGGAGAATTACATTGAAGGAATAGTTGTATTAAACCATGAATGTGGATTTTTTTATATAGTAAATTATTCTTTTTTTTTTTTTTTTTTTTTTTTTTTTGAGACGGAGTTTCGCTCTTGTTACCCAGGCTGGAGTGCAATGGCGCGATCTCGGCTCACTGCAACCTCCGCCTCCTGGGTTCAGGCAATTCTCCTGCCTCAGCCTCCTGAGTAGCTGGGATTACAGGCACACGCCACCATGCCCAGTTGATTTTTTGTATTTTTAGTAGAGACGGGGTTTCACCATGTCGACCAAGATGGTCTCGAACTCTCGACCTCGTGATCCACCCGCCTCGGCCTCCCAAAGTGCTGGGATTACAGGCTTGAGCCACCGCGCCCGGCTAGTAAATTATTCTTTATAGAGAAGTCATTTCATGCAAAAAAGTCTAATAGGATTTTTATGGAAATAATTTTATTATAAAAATTATTTGTGTAATAGTACTTTGTCCTTTCTGTATTAGTAATGATTTATAGCATGAGAGCTCAATTAGAATTTGTATTAAAAATCTTATAAACATTGTTAATGTGTATTAATATTTTAATTGTGTAAGATTGACATTTTTATTAAGCAGAAACTTTTGATATTGGACATATGCTATACTTTGTATGTGGTCGGTGATGATGCTACATTTCTAGCCAAACTTTCTCAATTATGAAAACAATTTTTTCCCCATGCATTTAATAAACTTAGTTTTATTCATACTGTAAATACACTTTTATGTCTTGCTAGTTTATTGGCATTTTTACTTGCTGCATCATAGCTTTAATAAACATTTTAAGGTTATATAATTTAGATGAAATTATAATATAATTTGGATAAAATTTCTTTATAGGTTTATTTTTAATAATATTCATGCAGGCTGACATCTTAAATACAGGTAAATAAAAAGTTTTTTAATTTATGGTCCAAAACTTCAGTTGTTGCAAATTAATAACTTTCTGTCCTAACAAATTTGATTTTGTCTTTTATTTTAGTTGGATTTGCAGTACTAAGCATAGAGTTTTGTCTTAACTGGCTTATGGAGAAATGCATTTCAGTAAATTGTTACTAAAGGTTATTACTATCATTTTTAAGGAGAACTTACGTTCCTTCACAAAGGATGCTCATGTTTTAATTTATAAAGATCTTCCATTTGAAACTCTGGAAGTTGACGCAAAAGTGGCATTGGAAATATTTCAACACAACAAGTAAGTGTAGGCTTTCTTTAAATCAAGGCTAACTCTCCCAGTATTATATGTAATGAAGAAAATTCAGGTCTTAAGAATTTTTATATTTGATCTACACATGACAGTGTATTATTTTCCACTCCGAGACCTCTCTTTCTGCAGTAGGAAGTTTATTTATTTTTGTTGATCTCATTTATTTCACCGAGAATAATGTTCCCCACCTCCCTTGATAATTTTCTCACTTTGTTTTACTTCTCTGTTCTTGGACCAGCCTTTCTCATTATATCAACACAGTGGTATGTTTCCTTTTTTTCTTTCTACTACTTTTTTTTCTTTCTAAGTGATAACGTATGTTAAGCCACTATATAATTTTGCGTATTTGGCAGCATTTCTCTCCTTCCCCTCCACACTTAAAATGGTACTGGTAAGACTGAAAATGCAAGCAGTTTGGAAGGGGGCTAACAGCTAAAGTAAAATGTTTACACAGCCAGTCTTAGTCTTCTGCATGTGAATTATTCATTTGATGGATTTTCCAACATTTTAATTCCTGTATGCCTTCTCAGTTTTCACTCAGAAAACTTTCAGTTCACCTTCTACTACCAGTTATAACAAAATAAACTAAATTTTACTGTTAGCCTAATAGAATATTAGAACTAATTAGAAAGAGAAATCTGTGCTATAAAAAAAAAGAAAACTAACATAGGTACTAGAGTCTGAAGCCAAAATATGCACCTACAAATTGTTAAAGGTTACAGATTAGAATTTCTTTAGGTATATAGAAGTTGAATTACAAATTCTCATAGGGGTAGTTTGTCATAATATGTTGGGTTAGTTATGAGTGTCTTTTTGACACATACCATATCGCTTGGCATTTCTCAGAGCAATCTGTCTCATTCTTCCATAAGATGTTGATTGACATGCTGAAACCATGTATTGTGTTAAGCTGAGTTTGAAGAACAGTGGCTTATAAAACTTTACCCGGTGCACTCAGCGGTCTCCCAAAGTGAAAATTTCCCAAATGTATTTGCCTATAAAACACTTTTTCTTGAAACATTTTTAGCATGTCCTGGAATCAGTGGACTTAGAAATCAATTGTAATGTACTGTTTTAACTAGAGTACAGATAGTATTGTAGAACCAAACCACCATTTATAGCATTGATTCTACAAGAAAATTCTTTGAACTATCCAAACACATCAAGTCACTCTCTGTGTCAAATGTCTAGGCACGTGCTACCCAAAAGAAATACAATACGAGATGTCTGTATAATTTGAAATTTTCTAGTAGTTACATTGAAAAAAAGTCAAAAGAAAAGGTGAAGTTAATTATAATGATTTTGTTTAAATGATACATCTACAATGTTATTTCAGTATAATTAATGTTAAAATATTGATGTTATTTTATGTTCTATTTCATTGAAATCTTCAGAACCTTATATGTTTTATACTTAAGGCACGTTTTAACTGGTACTAATCACATTTAAGTGCACCGTAACTACCTTACTGGACAGTGTACTTTTGACTTCCATTCAGTATACATTGAGATTTTCCATTCCTCTATCTAACTGTCAAGGACTGATAGGGGCTTCTGGGACTTTTGTAACTTGGTTGAGTGTGTGGTAGGAGGAAAGGGATGATTTTGGAGGAAGTTTGATAGGACAGAATGGTTGGATCATTGAAGGTGGGTCAGTGATTGAGCCTTTCTGCTGCAGGGGTAAGGGTGGGACCTTTCTGTGGCTTTGACTCATGGGGGACAGGAGCATCTCTTGGAGGTGGGTTAGGAGAGACAAATATTCAAGGGAATTAATTGGTCCCCTTCTTAGTGCATGGGGGACTGTAGCAGTCAGTGGATGTTTTTGCATAAGCCAGTGTTCCCCAACTTTGCCACATTGTGCATACACATGTGTGCACACATACATGTATTACTTGTTTAGCACCCTGGGTAGACAGATAAAGCTCTCAATAGTAAATGGTAAAGTCATGGTTTGAACCTGGGCTGTGGAGTTTCATCTGTGCCTTTAGCTAAACTCACAGAATTGGGCAGATTTGAGAGACACTGGGAAGTAAAATTGACAATTTGATAATGAATTGAATGTAGGGGATATGGTGGGAGAAAGGAATTAAGGAACTCTCCCATGTTTTTCACTTGCACACCTGGGTGTTTGGTGGTATCATACTAAGATAGGAAATTCAGGAGGAAGAACAAGTTTGGTTGGGGAAAGAGGTGGTAATTTGTGCAGTTTGCAAATTTCAGGGTAAGGTGCTTGTGGAACATCCTAGAGGATGTCCAGACGGGTCTCAGGTATACAGTTTGGTGCTCAGAAGAGGTAGGTGGATTAGAAGCAGAGATAAAGGAAATATAACTACATAAGTAGTAGCACAAGGAGCTGGCCTAGGGAGGATGCCTAGAGTAAAAAGAGTGTATAGGATAGAATTCTCAAATAGTAGAGAAAGACAACAGTGGCCCGAGATGTAAAATAACAAGCAGTAAGGAATGCCACTGATACCCATGGAAAGAGCACTTTGAAGCTGGGTGTGGTGGTTCATCCCTATAATCCCAGCACTTTGGGAGGCTGAGGCAGGAGGATTGCTTGACGCCAGGAGTTTGAGATTAGCTTGGGCAACATAGCAAGACCCAATCTCTTAAAAAAAAAAAAAAGTTATTCCAGCATGGTGGTCACAACTATAGTCTGAGCTTCTCAGGTGGCTGAGGCAGGAGGGTCACGTGAGCTCAGAAGTTTCAGGCTGCAGTGAGCTATAATTGCACCACTGCATTCCAGGATGGGTGACAGAGCAATAAATAAATAAATAAAATTGAAAATGGAAAGAAGGAACACTTTGAGAAGTGGAGGTGAGCATTGGTATTAAGAAAATGAGGACCAAAAAGTGTCCATTGGGTTGACACCCACCAGGTACCTGTGATTTTGTTGAGAACAGTTTGGCAGAGTCATGGGGCTGTAGCCAGATTAAAGGGAGGAGAGAAGGGAGGTTCCAAGTGTAACCCACTCTCAAAAAGTATGGCTGAAGAGAAAGGGAAGTATTTTTAAACACCTTTTTACATATTTAGAGTTAAAAAAAATTTTTTTTTCTTTGTTGCTTTTCAGATACAAAATAGATTTCATCGAAGAGAAGGCATCTCAGAACCCTGAGAGAATAGTCAAGCTACACAGGTAAAGTAAAACTCTAAAAACTGGCTGCCGTGTTAGAGTAAGGCTTAGCTTTATTGTTATCCAAATAAAGCATATGACCAAAATAGATGAATTTGCACCTTATTTTGTTCTTATTACCTTGTTTTCTGTTGCTTTGTTCATTGTTTTCACATGGTGGTAAATGAAAGCTCTAACTTAGCTTCAGGAACACTTGTTTTCTGTTCCTCATTTTACTGTTTGCTATTTTTATTTAATTTTGAGTTGAAAACCACTGTTTAAAAAAATATAATTTTTAGGGATTTTGAAATTGGGTAAGATAGTCATTGTTATGAATTGAACATGATAATTCATATGCATACAGAAATATGAATATTGACTGATTAGTAATTACTTATGATACATGTAAATTAAGTCAGACTGTGCTTTCTGACACATGGATGAGAAAGGTCCACTGCTTATGATGACGTTCTCCTGTGGGGAGCAAGTCCCAATGCATTCTGTAGAAATGACTTTGTGATCTGGATCTGTTTTCTCAACCTCGTGTTTTTATGAACTGGACTTAACTTTTTTCTTCTAGAAACTGCTTTTTGTTTCTGAACTCATTCTGTCCTACACGCTAAATTCTAAACTCTGTTACGTGGATTATTGTAAGGTTTTTAGATGATCGGTTTTAGGCAATTGGATCTGCTTGATAGCATGATGTATTGCGTGACTCTTAAAGACCTTTAAATTTATATCAATGCTAATTAAGAAAATGGTTCATTTGATTTAATTTTCAAAGTTTTAGTCTCTTTACTTGAGATCATTGTCAGGGGTCATTAGGAATTGAACTGAACCATATATAACGTTCTTGATTAGGGTGTTAGCAGCAAAGAGAATGAAGAGATTTCTTTTTCAAGCTATTACAAATTATTTGATGTTGCGGTTTTGTTTATTTTTAAATAAATCAGAATAGGTGACTTCATTGATGTGAGCGAGGGCCCTCTTATTCCAAGAACAAGTATTTGTTTCCAGTATGAAATATCAGCAGTTCACAGTCTTCAACCCACCCAGCCAAGTCTCATACGAAGATTCCAGGGTCTGTCTTTACCCGTTCACTTAAGAGTAAGTAAAGCTTAAGGTTCCAGGACTTCCAATTTGGGTATAAATATAATTCTGGACTTGATTTTATACTAGTGTGAAGAATCTAAACTTTTAGTTTTTCTTAAGTTGTAGGACACTAATATTTTGTAAACTCAGATTTGCGTTTAAAAACAAAGTTGGCCAGTGGGTAAATACACAATTACAAAAGACATATTTGTTAAAAAAATTAAATCAAATTGAGACAGCATTTTTAATTTTTCAAATTAGCTTAGGCGAGGGTGCATTGGCATAGGGAGTATTGGAGTGCATATTGGTAAGACCTTTCTGAAATGCCTTTTAAGCTTACATTTGGCATGCTCTTCCCTCTATTCATAACCCAAAACCTGTCATTTTCCACATTGTTCCCCCTCCCTTGCTAAGCTTTTTATTTAAATTTTTGATGTTGAAATAATTGCAGTTATAAGACAAATATAGAGAGATCCCATGTACCTTTACTTAGTTTCCTCTTGCAATACTAAAATACAATATCACCACCAGGGTATGGGCATCAGTACAATGAAGATACAGAACAATTCCTTCACTATGGGGACTCGTCATGTTGGCCTTTTATAGACACACTCATGTACAGCCACTTCCCTCTGTTGCCCTCCATTACCTTTCCTGTTTGCCCCTGCCAACTACTCACCTGGTTTCCTTTTCTATAGTTTTGTCACTTCAAGAATATTATATGAATGGGATCAAGCAGTATGTAATTTTTTGGCATTGGCAATTTCACTCAGTATAATTCTATGGAGATTCATCCAGGTCATTAGGTATATCAGTTGTTCATTCATTCTTATTGATAAATGGTATTACTAGGTCTGGATGTATCATGGTTGGTTTAACCGTTGATTCATCAAAGGACATCTGAGTTGTTTTCAGTTTTTGGCTATCACAAATAAAGCTGCTGTGACATTGTGTGCAGGTTTAGGTGAATATTTCTCTAGGATAAAATACCCAGGAGTGCAATTGCTGTGTCATATGATAAGTGTATGTTTAGTTTTTTAGAAACAGCCAGAGTGTTCTAGAGTAACTGTACCGTTTTACATTCCCACTCGCAGTGTACGAGTGATCAGTTTTTCCACATTCTCACTAGCATTTGATGCGGTCACTACTTTTTTTTTTTGTTTTAGTCCTTCTGATACGTTTGTAGTGATTTCTCATTGTAGTTTTAATTTGAATTTCTCCATTGACCAGTGGTATTGATCATCTTTTTGTGTACTTATTTGTGATCTACATATCTTCATTGGTGCAATGTCTGTTTATGTCTTTTAGCTAGTATTCTAATTAGATTGTTTTACCTTTTAACAGTTGAGTTTTAAGAGTTCTTTATATGTTGTAGATGTTAGTTTTTTGTACATATGTAGTTTTTAGATTTCTCTTGTTTTCTGTCTGTACCTTGTATTTGTATATGTGGCTTGTTTTTTCATTCTCTGGGCAACCTTTTGGAGAGCATAAGTTTTTAATTTTGAGGAAAGTAGTTTATCAAAATTTGATAACATTTTAATTTTAATAGATTATGTTTTTGGGGTTAATTTTAAGAACTCTGACTAGCTCCAGATCCCAAAGAGTTTCCCCTTTTTTCTCCTGCCTAAAAGTTTTAGAGTTTTATATTTATTTAAATCTGTGTTCCATTTTGAGTTAATTTTTCTGTACGTTTGAGATTTAGGTTTAGGTTATTTTTATTTTTTTGCCTGTAGATGTCAAATTGCCCCAGCACCATTGGTTGAAAAGGTCACTCTTCCGCCACTAAATTACTTTTGCATCTTTGTTAAAAATTAGCTTGGCATATTTATGTAGGTCTATTTTTGAGTCCTCTATTGTGTTCCATTTATCACGTATGTTTACATCACTACCAGTACCACACAGTCTTGATTACTGTAGCTCTAAATAGGTTGTGAAATCAGGTAGAGTCATTCCTCCCTTGTTACTATTTTTTGATCAAGATCGTTTTAACTATTGTAGTTTGAGTTTCCGTTTAATGTTAGGATAATATTTTTTATGTTGAGTCTTCTTGTGATTTTGATATGAAGTCCATTAGACCTGTTTAGCAATTTGGGGAGAATTGACATCTTTAATATGTTGAAACTTCCTGTCTATTAACTTATTATACCTTCTTATTTATTTATATCTTCTTTCATCTCATTTTGTAATTTTTAGTACACCTCTCCTTTACGTTTGACTTTGACTTTTCTCCACATACCTGCTTCCTTTCCTATCCTTCCCCACTTGAGAAAATCTGATCACCCTTTACCTCAAGCTTGTCTAACCTATGGCCCGTGGGCTGCATGTGGCCCAGAACCCCTTTGAATGCGACACAAATTCTTAAACTTTCTTAAAACATTATGAGATGTTTTTGCAATTTTTTTTCTTTTTCTTTTCTTGTTTTTTTAGCTCATCAGCTGTCATTAGTGTAGTATATTGTATGTGTGGTCCAAGACAATTCTTCCAGTGTGGCCCAGGGAAGCCAAAAGATTGGATACCCCTGGTTTCCCTAGTTGTTTGAGGTAATCCTTGATTCACTTTTCCCCTCGTAGCCACGCCCCCAGCCCATCAATCAGCAAGTCCTTTCAGCTTTTAACTCTGAAATGTATTCTGAACCTATGTACCTCACAGCATCTCATCTACTGCTGCCTCCCTTATCCAAGTTCCTGTTTTCACTCTCCTTCCTTGCTTTCACTCTTGCCCTCTGCAGTGCATTCTGTGCTTAGTAGCCAAAGTGATCTTTTTTAATTTTTAAAATTTATTTATTTTGCTTTAGGTGTATGCTATATCTGGCATCAAAGTCATCTTTTTAATACACAATCTGTTACATACTTCCTCTGGCCCAAACTTTCCAATGGCTTCCCTTGAACAAATCCCAACTCTTTACTCTGTCTCACAAAGCCCTGCATTATCTGGTCCCTGCCTGCATCTCTGACTTTATCTGACACCACTCCCTTCCTCACTCACTATATTCCAGCCACAGCTTAGGGTCTCTGTACCAGCAGTTCATTCTGCCTGAGTCAAGCATGGTTTTCCCTTTAAACAGACCAGGTAGCTCTTTTCCTAGAAGGGTTCGTATGTCAAAATTTAGTAATTTTACCTTTTATTATAGATTTTATGAGCTTATTTGGTGTGAAGTAGTCACTGGCCTGCTCATATGCCTTGATATCACTTTCAGTTGACCTAATAAAATTGATGTGGTCATGATACAGTTTGCACAGTTTTCCTTAGTGCATTCTGATAATCCTCTGCTACAGGAGATTGTTAAGGACTCAGGAAATTGAGTTTAAATTTTACTATTGTTTTGGGAGGCCGAGGTAGGAGAATTGTTTGAAACTAGGAGGCAGAGGTTGCAGTGAGCTGAGATTGCACCACTGCACTCCAGCCTGGGCAACAGAGTGAGCCTCCATTTAAAAAAAAAAAAGACTATTGTGTTTGTTAGGTTTTACTTATTCTTCAGGGTCATTTGCTGAATTCTCTGGTTCTGCCATTTCAGTGTGAAGATGTCACAGTTGGTTTTTAATGACTGACTTCTTGTGATTGCTTATGATTTGAAGAATGACTTCTAGAAGGTTGAAATTGGCTATTTAAGGATTGAACCACAATCTATGGGAAAGTAGGGCAGATTTTTGCTTCCTACTAGAAGGAATGCTTTCTACGATGGAAATGATTAAGAGAGGCAAAAGTGGAAGAAGGACACATTCAATCCTTAAGTCTTTTTTTCTTAATGCTCACTGCAACCTCCACCTCCTGGATTCAAGCAATTGGAGAAAGTGAAAAACAAAGCATCTCTTTTATGTAGTACCTTTTTCCCTCTACTGTGATCCACTTTCACAACCACTTAGCTATATTAGTACTATCTTTTAATTATTTTGTTCTAAAAGCTATATAAAGACTCTATCCCTTTTACTTTGATTTTACTACTTTTTTTTAGTTCATCACAAATCTTTTCTTTTTAAGGCACATTTTACGATATGGGATAAGCTGTTGGAAAGATCTCGGAAAATGGTAAGTGTTTTGGACAGCTAATTTGTACCCTTCTATAAAGAAATTCATCAAAATTAATCGATAACAACCAAAGGGGGGAAAAATGAAAGAAGCAAAGAGAAAGGAAAAAGTAAGTTGTCTCAATAGTCAATGCAGTATTTTGATTGTTTACTCCAGTAGTATTTTGGTAAGACTAAAGTTGTAATTTGGCAGTTCTCTTTTGATTTTATTTGTTAATATCAAGAAAATGATATTGTAGAACTTGAAGAGAAGTAAGAATATTATTATGCAATAGTAATAGTTCCCAATAGTTATAATGGTATCAATTAGGTCTTAGGATTTTTTTTTTTTTTTGTAAACTTAATGAATATTTAAAGGATTAAGATTTGTCAGATATAATTTTTTTTTTTTTTTTTTTTTTTTTTTTTATGAGAGGGAGTTTCGCTCTTGTTACCCAGGCTGGAGTGCAATGGCGCGATCTCGGCTCACCGCAACCTCTGCCTCCTGGGTTCAGGCAATTCTCCTGCCTCAGCCTCCTGAGTAGCTGGGATTACAGGCACGTGCCACCATGCCCAGCTAATTTTTTGTATTTTTTTTAGTAGAGACGGGGTTTCACCATGTTGACCAGGATGGTCTCGATCTCTTGACCTTGTGATCCACCCGCTTCGGCCTCCCAGCACAAGCCTGTGCTGGGATTACAGGCTTGAGCCACTGCACCCAGCCCCTTGTTAGATATATTTTAAAGCTTCCTTAGTCAGTGACATTAAATGTGCAAATGTCCTGAAAAATCAGATTTGAATGTTCGTGTTTTTGTGGTTTATTCTGTGTCATTAGCATTTATACTTCATTAGTAGGAGTGATTGTATTTCTTGACCACAACTGTCCCTGTTCCCTATTTCATAGGCTAAGTGTGCCTCTTTTACTTAGGTTATCTGGTGGCTATCCTGTGTCATCTGGCCTCATTAGGCCTTCCCCTTTATCCTAATTTCCCACAATGCCACAAACACTCTGGCCAAGCTTGCAAGCACATTAAGCATCACACATCAAACTTACTATCAGGTTTGCATATTTCTTCATGATTGTTTTTCTTTCTGGACATCATTTCCCATTCTCTTTTTGTCGTTTACAACACAGTCATTCTTCACTACCTTGCCCGAGTCACACCTTCTCCATGGAACAGTCTCAGAGTAATCTCCTAACAAATAATTACCCATTCGGATAAGTTTGTGCTTGATTGTATACCTCAATGTATGTTTTTTGATTGTTTTCTTTGCCAGTACATTTATCTTCTGTTTGTTAATCCTTTCAGGATTTGTTATATTTGTATAAGCCCAAATTCTGAATATATTAGCACATGAGGGGGTTCCCCAAGAAATATTTATTGACTATTTTCCATAATGATATATAAACCTAGTCTTTATTAATGAATATATTGATAGGAATTATTATTTAGGGACTTCATAATCTGGTATAAGGATTATATAATTTTTTTTCTCATGAGAAGAAAGTATCTTTGGATGGAGTAATTTTCTCTTTTCAGTTGGTCGCAGAGATCATTATAGATTAAGAAACTGAAAAAGAACTGTTCAGCATGGTTACTTAGAGTTAACTAAAATTAAAAAAACTTGAAACTGGAGAAGAAATGAATATTTAAGAAATAGTTTGGGAAACTAAAGAAGCAATAGTAACTGAACACTTTAAAGGAAGGAAAAATGGAGAAAAATGGCAGAGACAGTATCTTATTTAGAATATCTAATAATGTTAGCCAATACATATTTTTCAAACATTTATTCTTCTTTAGTTGCTTTTTTCTACTGTGCATTTTGCTTTTCTGAAGGGATTAGATTAAACCTGTGGTTCATTGATTCAACACAGTCTTACTGATTGTTTACTGTGTGCCAGGTACTGTTACAGTCTGGAGGAATAAAAAATCAACAAAATGTACTTGCTGCCTCAGGGAAATAATGTTGATTGGATAGTTAGACTTATAAGCAGACAGTTCAGGTGTACTTGTGGGGCTCTGGCATAAAGAAGGGGACTCAGACCAAGCTGGGGAGTTGGTTAAGGAAGGTTGGCAGGAATTGGAATCCCTTAAGTTGATTTTAAAGGATGAATAAAAGTGAACCATGCAGGTAATCCGTTGGAGAATGGGTTAGAGGCTATCTCAGAGGAAGCCAGTTGCTTACAGGCATGAAAGAATAGAGAACATGATAAATGTAAGATGAATTTGAATGCACAGGTCACGTCTAGGGTAGCTAATGAGTCTGTCCAAAAACAGAATATAAGGGGGCTTGTGTTCCTTGTTGTGAACTTACATTCCTGACTTTTCTTCCTTCACCTCACTGAGGTGATAGCGAGTGACTGGAGAATTTTGAGTAGGGACGTGACCTGTTGATCAGCTATTCTTGCTTAAAAGCTCATTCTAGGGGTAGCATGGGATATAGCTGTCAACTCTTAAGCCACGGGTTCTGTTAGGGGGATAGAAGAGGAAGAGGTCCTAAAGTTCAGCCATGATAGGGAGAACGACTGTGAGAGTTAACTTAGGTTGAGTTAATAGGGCTGTTGACAGAATATGCAGGTAAGAAGAAGAGAGTGAATTCTCGAATACTGTCCTTAGTTAGCTGGGCAGAGCCCTTTACCAAGATAGATGATCCAGGCAGGACAGGTTTTGGAGGTGTTGAATTTGGATTTAGCCATGTCTGTTTGATGAGTCTGAGTGACATAGAATAGAATAGGGACATGGCGATATCTATTTAGACTAAATCTATAATATGCTCTATTCTAAATGGAATTATACTCCAAAAGAAAATAAACTGATTTAAAATATCTTGTTACAGCACTTCAGGTGTTTTTTTTTTTTTCTTAGTAATGATTGTGTTTTATGGCTGAAAAGTAAAATGGCAAACTTGAGAAGCCTAGGTATAATATGCCTTAGATTATATTAAAATCTTTTGAATGGAATTATTGTTCTTTACCTGATAATTTATATTGGTAACTTGCTGTTTAAATCTTCTTACCTAACTTTCTGTAATAATAACTATTGAAGGAGAAAGATAGAGGATCATTATAGGAGGGCTGTGGGATGATTTAAAATGGTGGATGATGCTCTCTTTGGCAGCACATATGCTAAAATTGGAATGATACAGAGAAGATTAGCATGGCCCCTGCACAAGGATGACACGCAAATTCGTGAAGCATTCCATATTTTTAGAAAATGTGGCACATATACCCCATGGAATACTATGCAGCCATAAAAATCGATGAGTTCATGTCCTTTGTAGGGACTTGGATGAATCTGGAAACCATCATTCTCAGCAAACTGACACAAGAACAGAAAATCAAACACCGCATGTTCTCACTCATAGGCAGGTGTTGAACAATGAGAACACGTGGACTCAGGGAGAGGAGTATCACACATGGGGGCTTTTGCGGGGTGCTAGGGGAGGGACAGCAGGGGGTGGGACGGGTGGGGAGGGATAACATGGGGAGAAAGGCCGGATATAGTATGTGCCTTTGCAACAGCCCTGTATGACCTGCACATGTACCCCAGAACCTAAAGTAAAAAAATAAATAAATAAATTAGTGAATCACATTTAAAAATAAATAAATAAATAAAATGGTGGGTGAAGGGTAAAACTGGAAGTGTTTATTAGGAAAGTAAAGCTATTCATGTTTTTACAGGTAACTGAAGATCAAACTAAACCAACAGAGGAAAGTACATCTACCTAATAACTTTCTAAAATTTAAATATGTATAATAAAATAAATGTTTTTAATATAATGTTTGTGTGTGCTTATAAAGATTAACTCTTTCTCCCTAAGACTGATAGTGAGTTTTACTTTTTCCCTTATGTTGCTCAAAATAAAAACTGTCAAAAACAGGTCACTCCCTTCCTGCTCCGTGAAAAAAACACTTTGGCATGTTTTCTCTCTTTTTTTTTTTTTCTCATGTGTATGCAGATACATTCGAATAGGATCTTACTGTACTTGCTTGCATTTTTTTTTTACTTAACAGTGGCACAGTAAACATCCTTGTGCAAAAATGGCAAATGTTTCTAGATAAAAATGATAGTATTTATCATGTGCTTGGCCTTGTGCTAAGCTCATCATGTGGAACCTTTTGTTTAATCCTCACAGTGACCTGTTGAGAAGATGTTTCCTATATTTTAAATGAGGAAACAGCATAGAGCTTGAAAGTGGCAAAGCGGGAATTTGAATGAAGGCAGTTTCACTCAAACATGCTCTTATGTTCTACTCTACGTTGCCTCACATATAAATAATTTTGTAGGAATAGATTTCTGGCAGTGGGATTGTTGACAGGTGCTACCAGATGCTGGCTTCCCAAAGGTTTTGCCAAATGTCACTCCCAGTAACAGTGTCTAAAAGTGCCTTTTTCCCCACACCTTGAGTAAGCCTTGGTTATCAATCTTACGAAAACATTTTGCCAAAAAGTTTCTGCTTCAGTATTAGCAAGTTTTCTGCTTCTGGTGCACAGGCTTCCTCTGAAGACTATTTTTTTTTTTTCTTCTGGGTGAGGTCAACTTTTTTTAGAGTCCCTATCTTCCTGTTTCTTGATTAACTTTCTCATTTTGCTAGCATTTGTTTCTGAGCTCCTTTCTAGGAAAAAATGTCTAAGAGTTGAGCCATTACATGTCTAAAGTAGGTTCTGCACTTAAATTTGATGAACTGTTCAGCTAGATATAGAATTCTAGATTGAAAATTAGTTTTCTCCTAGAACTTTGAAAGCAGCTCAGTTATTTTCTGCATCTGATTTTGCTAATAAAAGGTCTGATGCCGGTCTGATTCTTGTTCCTTTTTGTATAACCTGTTCTCTGCATCCCCTTCCCTCAACACACTCTGGACATTTTTAGGATCTTACTATTCTTGGTGTCGTAAAATTCTACAATCCTGTACCTGTATCTAGGTCTTCAGTCAGTTATTCTGCTTGGTACGTAGGCAGTCCTTTGAATTTTTGACATCTCTCTTTAGGATTAGGATTTTTTTTGTTGTTGTTGTTCTTTCATTTCTCTGAAGGTTCTTTGTTTCTATAATACCTTTCAGCTGTGTTTGCATCGTCTGTATTGGTCCTCTTATTTTTTTTTTCCTTTCTCCATCATTTTTCCTGCATTTATATTTTACTCATTTAATACATTATAGCAAGCATTTTTTAATTTCTGAAAGCTCTCTTTTGCTTCACTTTCATAGAATTCTATTCATGTTTTCTGGATGTGATGTATTTTCATGAAGCTCTCTGAAGATGCCTAAAGTGGGTTCTGCACTTAAATTTGATGAACTGCACTTACATTTGTTCGTTCATTCACTTTGTAGTCCCTGAATCTTCTCTTTTCTCTGGTGACAGATTTTTTTGTCTTAGTCTTTCATTTACATGTTTCAGGCTTTTTTCAAATGTCTAATGTTTGTTGGCTGTCAGTTTGTAGTTGACAATGTGGATGTAAGGAGGTTGAGTGGCAGCTCTGGTTTGAGCAAGGGTTGGCTTCTCATAGGCATCACTAAGGATGAGTAGGTGAATCTGGCAGGTAGGATGAGGGTTTTTAAAATGCTAGAATGAAGAGGTCTTGTCTTGGCTACCAATTTCTACATTGACTACCCTAGTTTTCCCCAGGCTGTTCTTTCACTTACTTTGTAAAAGATCCCATTGATGTTTTGTGTGGGGCAATTCCTGGATTTAGGCCCTTCTGTATTTGAAGATGGGGTAGTGTGCAACCTGTTTGTATAGAGACCTTTAATTAATTCCTTTCTTTTTAATTAGTTTAGATTTAATTACTCCCTCTACTGTCTTCAATCATCTCTGAACTTCCGCTGTCTCTGAACTAAGGCCCAGCTGGGCCGGTTGGCTGCCTCTGGTGGAACTTCCTCCACGTTTTCTAGGTGGTGATATTCTCTAGTGTTTTATTAGTCACTTTCTGTCTTTTAGAATTTGGTTGCCATCTCTTGTTTACTGATTTTTTTCTTCCATTCCCTTTGTTGTTTGTGAGCATACAGAAAAGTACAGAGAATAATTTCACAAACATTTTCATGCTTTTTGGGCAACTAGCACTGTTTAAACACCTGTTTTTTGGCAACTTCCCACATTATGGATCTTACCTTACCCATAAGAAGAATGAAATTTAATTTCCTCTCCTTCCTTGCAGCCATGGCTCAGACCGGTAGCGTGGGCTCACCAATTAGACATACTTGTGTGAAATCTGGAAGCAAGTACTTTGAAGACAAGAGTAGTATGAGTTACATTTTACTGAGAGGAGCAGTGATGTGGTTTTCAAGGCAGCAGTGGCAGAGGTCTCATGTAATGGTGCAAGGTATGGAGGCTGTGCTTAGCGGTTTTTCCCCTGCGGCTGCTCCTTGGTATAAAAATGGGCATTTTTTTTTGGAGCCTCATAGTCCTGACTTCCAGGCCTGAGACTTGTGAGCCATGTTTTTATGTTTGTTTAGCTAGTTTAGATCCTGTTGTTTGTAACCAAGAATGTTGATATATAGCCACTATTTAATTGTAACCACTGTCAACCTTTTTCCTTATTTACTTGAGATCCTTTTGTGTTTAAATAAAGGAAAAGCTGCACATCCATTGAAGGTCTTGTTATGTCATTTCCTTCCTCTCAAGAAGAACTGCTATCCTATTTATACCTGTCCTTACTCTTCCTGATTTTATATTTTTCCTACAATCCATAGTATTCTTTGTTTTAAAACTAAACATAATTGGTTTCATAATATATATTGTTTTGCAATTTGCTTTTATTGCTCAGCATTGTTTTTCATGTACAGCATGTCGATGCCTGTAAAGAGTTAGTACATTCATGTCATCTGCTATATGGTATTTCATTATATGATTAATCCCACCATTAATTCATTTTCTTATTGATGACCATTGAGGATATTATTGGCGTTTAAGTATTACAGTATTGCAGAAAGTATTCTTCCACATGTTTCTTTGTGTACACATTTGATAATGTCTCTAGGGTCTGTATCAAAGTGGACCATGCATCTTCAGCTTTACTAAATATTATTAATTGGCTGCTACAATAGTCTTACCAGTTTACTCTCTATCAGCAGCATGAGAGTTCCCATGTTTTCTGCTCTCATTAACGTTTATTATTTTCAGACATTCAGATATTTTGTTGGTTGAATATGCATATCCTATCATTTAATTTGTTTAATACTGAGCATATAGTACCAATACGCATCTCTTCATTTCTTTTGATGAATTACCATTTTACAACCTTTGCCCCTTTTTTACAATTGGATTTTTGGTTATCACATTATTAGTAGTTTTTTTTTTTTTTTTTGAGACAGAGTTTCGCTCTTGTTACCCAGGCTGGAGTGCAATGGCGCGATCTCGGCTCACCGCAACCTCCGCCTCCTGGGTTCAAGCAATTCTCCTGCCTCAGCCTCCTGAATAGCTGGGATTACAGGCACGTGCCACCATGCCCAGCTAATTTTTTGTATCTTTAGTAGAGACGGGGTTTCACCATGTTGACCAGGATGGTCTCGATCTCTTGACCTCGTGATCCACCCACCTCAGCCTCCCAAAGTGCTGGGATTACAGGCTTGAGCCACCGTGCCCGGCCACATTATTAGTAGTTTTATATGTATATGTATATTTTTTGAGATCGAGTCTCATTCTGTTGCCTAAGCTGGAGTGCAGTGGCATGATCTCGGCTCACTGCAGCCCCTGTCTACTGGGTTCAAGTGATTCTCCTGCCTCAGCTTCCTGAGTAGCCGAGTAGCTGAGATTACAGGCAAGTGCCACCACATCCAGCTAATTTTTATATTTTATATATAGAGATGGGCTTTTAACATGTTGGCCAGGCTGGTCTCCAACTTCTGGCCTCTAGTGGTCCACACTTGTTGGCCTCCCAAAGTGCTAGGATTACAGATGTGAGCCATCATGCCTGGCCTGTTCTTTATATTTTTAGAAAGTTAAACCCTTGTGCACCAGGCACGGTGGCTCACGTCTGTAATTCCAGCACTTTGGGAAGCCAAGATGGGTGGATCACCTGAGGTCAGGAGTTTGAGACGAGCCTGGCCCACATGGTGAAACCCCATCCCTACTAAAAATATGAGAAATTAGCCTGGCGTCGTGGTGCATACTTGCAATTCCAGCTACTCAGGAAGTTGAGGCATGAGAATCACTTGAACCCAGGAGGTGGAGGTTGCAG